GATAAAGTCTTCTTCAATATCCTGAGTTTCCTTGAATAGTTCAGTGAATATAAAGCGAGAAGAGTTGTTCTGAGTTATTACTAATACAATTTGTACTTCATTTGAAAGCGAAGAATGTACTTCTTTGAAACTATTGACTGAAAAAATTTACCTCTCTTTGCAGACACGAGTTTTTCTTTAAATATGTAAAACCTAAGAAATCGATCTTTATGAAGTAATAATTCAATAATAGTTCTTTTGTATGATTAAATTTTTGGTACATTCTAACCCGATAAACACAAACTACAAAAGTACATTATAATGTAATATAATATTATATATTAATAATTTTTTAATTTAAATGTAAATAAAGAGCATAAGAGTCAAAAATTAAAATAATCTTAATGAAGAAAAATCTGATGGCTCGACGCAGAAGCCGAAACATGTAATTATTGTTAATAACATCAACTTTATTTAAACGTCATTATCATACTATTGTTAATAACATCTACTTTATTTAAATGTCAATATCGTTAGAAACATAAATTTCATTTAAACGTCATTATCTGAAAACGTCTATTTTATCTTTCGTAATATATTATAAAATTTGACATTTAAGATTATTTCAATTTTTGACTCTTATACCCTTTATTTATAGTACATTTAAATGTATTTATTAACAAGAGTCCTTTATACATAACTTTATTAATAATTTTTCACTCAACAACATTATTATAAATACAACGCAAACACACGTTGTGCGTAACAATTACATTGTGACTAAGAAATTACGATATCGATGTCATGATATTACTTTGCGATGTTTGCCGGGAATCAACATTTTTTCCGATATTCCAAACTCGGCTGCGCTTTCTCGCAGTAATAATCTTCAGCATGTATCTTCACAATGCCGCGAGAACGGCGTGCGATTAGAACTCAAGGTGTTAAGGGTTCCTTCAGTTAATAGGCATTTCTGATGTATCTCGTAACTTACCCGGCACCGTCGAGAGGAGTATCAAACAAACCGCCAAGCCACTCATCTTCGCTGATGGATCTGTTGTCTCGTACCACACCAGCTCGCTTCAATCTCGTATCGACTTTAACGTCCCCGGCGTTTCATGCTTTATCAGGCCAACTTGGAAGAAGGAAAGGAAGCCGAATCACTTTTCAACCCTTTTCCTGTCTCTTTAGATTACTGCTCGCCTTGTCTCCCTACTGATTTTATTACGTTAATGTGACACAACTTAGATAACAGCAGTTCGAGCCGATAAACCGAGATGAGATGTTTAAATACAGATTTTTGTGCGCGGTTATTTCGACGACGTAAATGTGGACGTTTCTTTTTATAGCGTCGTGATAATGAAGGAGAGTTGAATGTCCGCTAACACGTATTTCCAAAGTCTATTTTTCGAGAAGTAAGTATATAAGTATTCAGCAAATAATGCAAACTAACAATAACATCACATTACTGTTATAATTCAATTCCTACAATATAAATATAACACATATTGAATATGTAACAGTTATATCATCGAGTGGTAAATTATAACGTTAACGTAACGTTACTACATTAGTAGACGTTTGCTGGAGAGTGATAAAAATTTAGCGCGAGAAACATCTCAATTCACTTTTTACGAAAAAGAGTTTAATAAAAAATTACTCCAAATTTTATTGTGTACAATTTTCTGTTACACGTCTGCGCGTTTTCTTACAAAGATATACTCTGACATGATAAGAATTCAGTTCCTTCATGGAATCGCCGAGGGACGGAATAAAACTTTGGACTCTGTCGTCCCGCACGGAGCTCGGCTTTTACGGAATGACGCGGATCCGTACCCAGCGTTGTGCCCAACGGCGCTTCGGGGGAAGCTTATCTCGCGTCGTCGGCAACGCGGCGAGAGCACCGCACACACGGATGCTGTGTGACTGACGCCGGTTATGCACGCGTCGCACGCCAAGCACACGGGACCAGCTCGAGGACCGAGTTAGACTGAACGCACAAGTCCGTGGTTCTCTCTTCGAGTTCTCTCAGCCCTACCTAAGGTACAAGCCGTATAACTGGGTATGGTACACGGGGACTCGCCCGCCTCCCTGTGGATAACGTTTTCTTCCATCATTAGCCGTACGCATAAATATACACACGCATGGCACACACGAGCGCGACACACGCTCGCGTGCACGGGATGATCGATGTGTGTCGCGTGTATCCGTCCGAGAGCGGGTTCGTCAAAGCGAAAATGAAATCATCGGTGAAACGACTGTCCGGACTTGATTCGTTGAGGTTTTATCCAGGAGAGGAAATTGGGGAGTGTAATATTCCATGAAGAGCATCAATCCTCTGAGCATTTTATAGACCTGAAAAATTGAAATTGCGCCAAGGAGGATATTAGTTATCAAAATTCTAATAAAAATTCCAGAAAAGCATTGATTAGTTTTAGAATAAAACTTATTCTAAAATTTAACTATGTTACATGTCCTATATGTTGCGTAATATGTGTGTGTATGACATTTTACATTACAGTTTAATTATTGTTTTAACTATCTTACATCAATTCTTTTATTTATCTACAACTGTAAAAGCTAAACAAATAATTTAAAAAGTAACGCAAATAAATTATTAGTATGAAATAAAAAGAACGCATTTTTTTTTTTTCAGTTACTTCCAATATGATTTTTCACGAGCGATAGTTATCGTACAACTATGTTTTTTGAAAGATTGAATAGAACGAGTGTGGTAGAAAAATATGTTATCAGTAAAATTACATGTTTTTCACTGTGGATGGTTATTGAATTCCACGTTGAAAAAAATACTTTTGCATCTCGCTGGCGCGCGAAAATTTTAATTCATTACTCCACTGCATCCAAACATGCGCGCTACAAATAATTGTCGAATGCAACAACGGTACCGCTAACAATTACGACGACCGCTTTTATTTCGTCCACGGAAATAAGATGAGATCCGATAACGACGAGAGCACACTTTCGGTTCTCTTTCAAATAAACTACTTATTCTCTCATCTTCTATTAAATTTTGCTTTATCACGATATTATTGAATAGTTTTTTTGTGTAGGTAATTGAAACCATCAATATTTTTTATCTATATAATAAAAATATTTCTTCTACTATAAATAAAAACATAAAAATTAAATTATAATTAAACTGTTAATGTTTTCTACGAAGGTTTTTGGCATTATTTTGCTAAATGTAAAAGCAATTACCAATGCGTTTTTTGTGTAAAAATAGATTCGTTCTAGATAGAAATGTATTTTTAAAAATTAAAGTAATAACATTTTCTTCAACACAACTGATTTTATAATTTCTTTAATTTTTTTTTTTTAATTTTATTATTTTCACATCTTTTGATTTTGTTCTCATGCCAAGTTACAGATACATTGTTTCAATATACGATTTTGCCATCCTATACATATTGCTAATGTTGTGTAACGAAGAAAGAAATCGAGGAGTCAGTGAGAGGTGTGTTGTTCTTAATATTGGAATGAGGAATTTTTGTTGAACGTCTGACGAGGACTCAAACCAAGAGTCGAAACTTGTTACGACATTTTATATCGAGCGATTTATTTATATTATTATATATTGACTGATATTCTAATTTTTAATTGTGTCTAAAGCGGCTAAGTATTTCATGTATTCTTTTTCTTTAAAAATTCATATTATAATTTTAATGTTTTAATCGCTTTTTTGTTTACTTACGAATTGACTCTCATTGTCCTTTACCTTGTTTTAATTATTATTTTCATATAAAGAGTACTTCAACTTTAATTTTGTTTGATTTTATAATATTATTAATTATTTATACTTTTTAAAAGGAACTATATAATTTTTTAGAATAAAAATTCTATTATAAAAATAAATTCTTATAAAAATTAAACTACTATTTTTTTCTTATACAAACGGATTTATGAAATTATTTTTACCTATCTAAAAATTTCTTTTATCAAAAGTGTATATTTATATAAAAATACAGTTGTTAAAATCTTCAAATAAAAATTGCGTTATATTCTTACTGTGCAATTATTTATATGTATATATATGTATTTTGTAAAAATCAAGTTTAAATTATTTTTCAAAAATTATTTTCTAGTTTTCCTAAAGTCTCAGAGATAAACTAATTTAAAATTAGACATTTTATATATTAAAAAATTTTTAATTGATGTATATTTTAAATTTTTCAGAAGTAATAATAAGTAATACAAAAGAAAAAAGTAGTACAAAAGTATAATCTTTTGCTTTTCATTCCATTTATATCGAACATGTACATTATAAATCTAGTACGTTTTACGCTTTTATAATCTCTTCTTTTCTTTCTTTTAAATTACATTATTACTTACACAAAGGTAGTGTATGTATAATTAAATACTTTGTCTACTTAATAATAATACTTATAATAAATATACGAGTGTCAGCAATATATTGAGCTCGAGTAGACAGTACGAACTGAATCAGTTATTCTCGCGGAAAAGACCTAGTGGCGCCATCAGTTAGCGATGAAGAAAAGGTTTCATGAAAAATCTATAATATGTAATCTTTAAAATAATTTTCACAAATTATTGACAAGTATATTTATTTTAAAACAAAGAATAAACAAGCTACTCATTATTATAAAAAGAAATATATATATATAGTTTATTCTTTTCTCACTTCAACTTCTTACATTGTTCATCTTGTTTTCCCACATTGGAAAAAAAGGAAAGATTTTAATAATATATAGAAGTTCAGCTGAACTGACCTATAAATGCTCATATTTGTTAAATTATTTATGAATTATCTATTCGTTAATTTATATAATCTCACTAAAAATGCTAAACACAAAGCTTACGTAAAGAGTTCTCTATTATCATTAGAAACATTAAACAAGTTCTAACATTAAACAATCTAAATAAATATTAATAGATTCAAGAACATATTTTAGGTAATAAAAACACAATATTAATATCTCATTATTAATAGTTTATTATAAGGAATCATAGAATTATAAAAAAGAAAAACAAGACATAGCATGTGAAATTAATTTTCCTTTATTCGTCAAGATTCTGTACGAAAAATTTGCATGTGCGAATTAATAAAATAAAAAATTCATACTAGAATATATTGTAATTAAACGATTTAATACAACGCGAAGCTTTAGCAGAGATCACAATTGTGGAATCAGACATTTCCGCCTCTAAGTCGAAGTACAAGGTGAAGTGTAGATTCTTTTTGAATATTGTAGTCGGACAAAGTCCGTCCATCCTCCAGCTGTTTGCCCGCGAAAATCAGTCTTTGTTGATCGGGAGGAATGCCTTCTTTATCTTGAATTTTCGCTTTCACGTTCTCGATCGTGTCAGACGCTTCGACCTCCAATGTGATAGTTTTACCAGTGAGAGTCTTGACGAAAATCTGCATACCACCGCGAAGTCTCAAAACCAAATGCAGGGTAGATTCCTTCTGAATGTTATAATCAGAAAGCGTGCGGCCGTCTTCAAGCTGTTTTCCGGCAAAGATCAATCTCTGCTGATCTGGAGGGATTCCTTCTTTGTCCTGAATTTTAGCTTTCACGTTTTCAATCGTGTCCGATGCTTCGACTTCCAGAGTGATTGTTTTGCCGGTGAGTGTTTTGACAAAAATTTGCATACCACCACGTAAACGGAGAACCAAATGCAATGTAGATTCCTTCTGGATGTTGTAGTCAGAAAGTGTGCGGCCGTCTTCAAGCTGTTTTCCGGCGAAAATTAATCTCTGCTGATCTGGAGGGATTCCTTCTTTGTCTTGAATTTTAGCTTTCACGTTTTCAATCGTGTCGGATGCCTCAACTTCCAGAGTGATTGTTTTGCCGGTGAGCGTTTTGACAAAAATTTGCATACCACCACGTAAACGGAGAACCAAATGCAATGTCGATTCCTTCTGGATGTTGTAGTCAGAAAGTGTGCGGCCGTCTTCAAGCTGTTTTCCGGCGAAAATTAATCTCTGCTGATCTGGAGGGATTCCTTCTTTGTCTTGAATTTTAGCTTTCACGTTTTCAATCGTGTCGGATGCCTCAACTTCCAGAGTGATTGTTTTGCCGGTGAGCGTTTTGACAAAAATTTGCATACCACCACGTAAACGGAGAACCAAATGCAATGTCGATTCCTTCTGGATGTTGTAGTCAGAAAGTGTGCGGCCGTCTTCAAGCTGTTTTCCGGCGAAAATTAATCTCTGCTGATCTGGAGGGATTCCTTCTTTGTCTTGAATTTTAGCTTTCACGTTTTCAATCGTGTCGGATGCCTCAACTTCCAGAGTGATTGTTTTGCCGGTGAGCGTTTTGACAAAAATTTGCATACCACCACGTAAACGGAGAACCAAATGCAATGTCGATTCCTTCTGGATGTTGTAGTCAGAAAGTGTGCGGCCGTCTTCAAGCTGTTTTCCGGCGAAAATTAATCTCTGCTGATCTGGAGGGATTCCTTCCTTGTCTTGAATTTTTGCTTTGACATTTTCGATCGTATCTGATGCCTCAACTTCCAACGTGATAGTTTTTCCCGTCAGGGTTTTGACAAAGATTTGCATTCCACCACGTAGACGAAGAACCAAATGTAAGGTCGATTCTTTTTGAATGTTATAATCAGAGAGAGTACGGCCGTCTTCAAGTTGCTTTCCGGCGAAGATCAAACGCTGCTGATCAGGTGGGATGCCTTCCTTGTCCTGAATTTTGGCTTTGACGTTTTCGATCGTATCTGATGCCTCAACTTCCAACGTGATAGTTTTTCCCGTCAGGGTTTTGACAAAGATTTGCATTCCACCACGTAGACGAAGAACCAAATGTAAGGTTGATTCTTTTTGAATGTTATAATCAGAGAGAGTACGACCGTCTTCAAGTTGCTTTCCGGCGAAGATCAAACGCTGCTGATCAGGTGGGATGCCTTCCTTATCTTGGATCTTTGCTTTTACGTTCTCAATGGTATCAGAAGCCTCGACTTCCAGAGTTATGGTCTTCCCGGTCAACGTCTTCACGAAAATCTGCATGGTGCTCTGTAATAAAATTTTCGTTATAGACGGTTATCTTTAAAATAACATATATATATATATATGTATATATAATCTAATTATATATATATAAAATAAAATAATTATCTAATGCTCAATTTCTTCACTTTCAGATAAATCAATTATAATATTTATAATTATTTATAAAATGACGACACTTTGGAAGATACAAATAAGTCACATAAAAGACGCGGATAGATCATAAAAAAAAAAAAAGAATAAACTGCATTCACTTTTACAGTAAAGCCATACATAAAATTATATTAATAACCACGAAATGGAGACACCTGGCTGGAGATCACAGCTGCTTGCATGACGCAGTAAAATCAAGGGCCGCCATTTTGGTTGGTTTTAGTGCTCGTCATGCTCGCGTTACCAAGCGTATGACGCCATGTCACGAAAACGTGAACGTAACGACGAATATTGGATCAATACTTTATTCCGCTCATTTCCTACGTGCTTCTCACGCTGATGCAGATTCGAAACGACTTCTCGATTAGATTTCGGAATGTACCAACTCGATAAAAAGCGCCAATCAAAATATATATATATATATATATACAATGCTACGATCTATTCCGCCTAGCAACAGGCCAACAGGCTCGAAACAACGATCGATTATACATTTGGAAATGACTCATCCGAATCTATGACGTGTTTCTTCGAAAACCTAGCGCGCCGATGGCTATCGGACAAATTCCACGATTATAATCATCATCATCTACGCCTCGTTCGCATAAACGAATTAAATTTCCGACTGAGGGCAAAGATTCCGAAACCAAGAATTAATATCGACGCGTATAGTGAACTTACCTTTTGTTTGAAAGCTTCTCGCTATGTGTAATTCCCTCACAAGACGATTTAACAACTATCGTAGAGCAGACACTCCTCGGCTCAAATTCACAGCGACTATTGAAACCGTTGGCGTCGCGAGCGTTGCTTTTATACCACGAAGTCGCGTATGACTGCGAGTGACGCATGCTCATATCCGATTGGTCGAAGAACGTCGACCGATGCAGCTGATTGGCTCGCTGGTGGACTACGTCATTGATCGGCGTGACGTATACTGATGCGTATCGACTTGGCAACAATGGCAACAAAGAACACTCCAGACTCTTCTAGAGTGTTCTACGTGGTTCTCTGTAATTCTATAGTATTATATATTATATACAGAGCGTTGCAAAATTTATCACCTTATTTTAAGCTATATATATTTTTTTTAATGGCCGCTTATATGAAAGAATAATAGAAGATATGCTTAAAATGAATGTATAGATATAGGTCTCGAGAATGACCTAATTAATGTGCACGCTAGAAACAACAATTCAATTATTAATAATAAATATTATTAAAAAATAATAATTATTAATAAATAACAATTTATTGGTGAATTTCGTCAATGTTCCCGGAATCGAAGGTTTCAACTGCATACATAATTTAAAAATCAATTTGTCAATTTAAGATTTTAGAAACAAATACATACTTACGTAATCGAAAAGTGCGAAGATATTGTTTCGTAAATATTGTTTCATAAATATTGAACGTGCAATAATATGGTTCAACGGAAGATTGAGAGAGCAAGCATTTAAGGCAATTCTTTATCAATAATATTTTTGATATAATTAAAAAAAATTAAGTTTTAATTATTATTGCTGTTTACAATTTGTGTTTTTATCCCGATTTTCGAATTAGTAATGGAAGTGAGGCGATTAATTTTACAGCGCCTTGTACATACATCTGTTCCCATTTATCAGAAACCAAAACCGAAAATGGTTTGTCATGTTTATTCTTAATATTCCTTCTCTGAATTCATAAATAACGCAAAACGATGCATTCTCTGAATATAAAAGTGTATATTGGAAAAATGTCCATGTCAAAAGATATTTATAGCTATAAGTACGATAAATATTCACGAACAAAACGGTTTCGATGGATATTAGGATGCTTGCCAAATGTTCACATGCTGTTCAGGTGTTTTTTTCTTTGTCGATACTTCTATTTTCGCTTTTCATTATATCCAAAGAGTATAAATCCAACTCGTAAAATTTAATTCCCAGAATTGCCGAGTCACAAGCATAACGTCGTATGCATCGCAATTTCAATGACTCGCAAACTGATGCAATATTTTAATGCACGAAAATAAGGTAAAAACAAGATAGATGATACGTTATATACACTCACCCGCAAAAAACGATATTTTGCATTTTTAAACATTTTTATTTTCATTATTTACAAAGTTATGATTATTGTGAAAGTTGGTAATTTTTTAAATTTTCAAAATATATACACACCGCTTTCTTTGCGGGTGAGTGTATTTCGATCACATTTTGGAGAACGTTCGTCTTTTTGTTTTCGAAGTAAAAATAATTTTCCTCTTGTAAAAATCAATCGAAATTTGATGCAAAAATCTAATCTAAAACTAGCACGTGACTATCAGTGGAGAACATAAAAAGAAAAATATTAAAGACACTTTAGAGGGTCTCAAGTGTATCTCGAAACGAGATGAGAATTACAGACAGAAGCGAGTAATTCACAAAGTGTTGATTAATAAAATTATAAACATTCTGATGAAAATTTGCTCAATTTTGTAATTTTTGATTTATTTTAAATGCGCAATCACATGCAAATTCGAAAAACAATGATCAATAAATAAACCGCGTTTTATCTTCGTGTTATTTTGTACACATTACTCGAGTTTTTCTATAAGTAAAATATTGAAGTTGGAAAAGGAAAGGAATAGTGATATCGAGGAAACACTTGTTAACTCTTTCAGTGAGAAGTATCATAAATTCACAGTAGCGTCGTACACATGTTCGTTTTATTCAATGATCTTTTAGAAACAGAAAATCTACAGGTTAAAATAAATTCACTTAAATGAGACGTAATGTCTAAAAGTTGGAACTTCAAAGTTTTAACTCGGTGTCGCTTAAAATTCTGTAAACAAAATTCATTTATAGTACTGTTAAAAAAAAAAATTGTTAACATGTGCACTTTCTTCGCATTGGATAATCATCAAGCATCCAATTCATCGAGTTATAAATATCCTGGCGCTATTTTCTGCGTGAGTCACATACGTGACAATAGTATATATCGTAAATGGTTGTCACTTTGTGCAGAAGTGAAAGAGAGAGAAAGGATATAATATTTCCTACACGTACTGACTACACACACAACATACACACAAAATCTCAATACAATCTATTGCCTACTCTTAACTTCAAACTTATAAACGTTCGTCGTCGTCTTCCCACACGTTCGTTTAAATTCTTCCTGTATTTCTCATAATCGAGATAGTTTACTCAGCCTGACCGATTCAAATTCAGTGAACGCGTCCATCAGTTTCGTCGAGACAAATCTGATATCAGAAATAATAGAATCACATTTGTCTGAAAAAAAAATTAGTAATCAATTCAAGCTTTTCATAGCGCTACACCTCCATTTTGTGACACGCTTATTAATTATTACAGATTAAATACATCGTAGGAAATAAATGATTGCCATAAAGTAAATAATTCACAATAGACGTAGAGACAAAGAGCGCCTGCTACTGCAATTCGATAAACGAATCATCTCTTTTTATAGTCATTCTTCAGATTATTCTAAAATCATGACAAGCATCAGCCTAGTTTTCAATTGTCCTTCCGAAGACATCTCTCCTCCTAAACAAGCAACTGACACGGCGGTAAAAGAAACTGCTTCCTTATACTAGATAAGTTAATAGGTAATTCGTATTGCGAATACGAATCTTTTGGTAGATCTTCTACTTGGAATCTGTTTCCATTTTGATCTCTTCCGCCTTTTTATCTTTCTTCGAAGCTTCGCTATCCGTGCCCTCTCCGTTGCTGTTATCGCGTCTTCGTTTTCGAGCGAATCGTCCTTTGAATTTCGGCGGCGGCAATTGCTCCATACCTAGGACTTTGTGAATCTGGCGGAATGCCACTAATCGTAAAGCATGCTGCGCCGACGAAGTAATATCTTCTCTCTGTTGGGACGTCATGTTTCCTATTGCATCAACTGGCTCTTTCTCGCACGGATCGGATAATCCTAAAACGAAGAAATTACGGATCAACATTGTTGACTCCACCACGTTATCTTTCGATCAATATTACAGCTACAATTTTTAGATTTTCAGATTGCCATATCATCTGCGCGTATCACAAAGTACATGATTGTGATACACGAGAACAAAATACTTGTTCTCGAGTCAAAAAATCACCTCTCCACGATACGCTCAGTCTCGTCATCTTGTTTCATCATTTGGAGATAGAGGAAATTAAAATTAAATCGAAACATGGTATAACAAATGAACTTTAGAAATTACCTGGACTACCCGGTAACAATATTCCTCCAGCCACGCATTCCAGAAGTCTTCTCAAGGCTTCACCGGGACTAAGGGGACCTCCCGCGGTGCTAATTACTTTCTCAGTCAATAATTCCAATGCCTGTATACATCGAGAAGCAAGTTATCGAGAATTCAAAAATCGTAAGAACATGCGAATAATGAATGGGAGATAATCGTGTATATACTGACCCATGGATTTAACGGACCCCATGTTGGCACACGATTACACAGGTCGCGCATTATACGGATAACCATAACACAGCTCTGCAGCGAGGTAGCTCTAGCCTGTTGAACAGGATGAACATTTTAAAAACTACGATTTAATATACGTAATAAATGCACTGGCTCTTCTGGAGATAAGACAGCCTAAACTATCCTTCGATTGCTTTGTGTGGGCTTTAGCTATCCTCCCAGCCTCGTGCCTAGTGCCCCTAATAGTATTAGCCCATATCAATATTACCGGGTGTTTATCGATTACTTTTTCCTAGAACTAGTTAGTACCTATCGTAATAATGAAAAAAAAGCGAGAATTCATATATGTTTCAAGGAAAACTGTGCACATATCTTAGAACAACTTTAAGGCTCTCGACTCTAATTTACAAAAACACCCGGTACACTTATGACGCGCTACTGTGTGTTTGTGCTTGTCTGTCTCTTTTTGATCTCCAAAGCTGTGCAATTAACGCACATGAAATTGTTACAATACAAAAATGGAACGAAATACATAATCTCACAAAAGCTGTAACTGATGCTATATGTCGATTTGCTTTTAAGTTAAGACAGACCTAGAACAGACGCAGCCTAGGCTACAACGCATTAAGGACGATCCAGAATAATGAATTATGCTTGATCGTAAAGCAATCGAGGTCTGTGTTAGTAAAGAAAATAAAGAAAATCACATTCATTCTAAGGACACATAAATGAATTGTACTCGAATTGCGACGTCTCGCAGTGAAGTTCCTATTATTCTGGATGATTTAAAGCAAAGCAGATGTAAATGCATCTAGCAGCATTTTCGCGTTGACTGTCGAGATACACATTTACATGTTGCTTACTTGCGCAAGATTTCTTGCCTGATAATATATATCTGATCGCATGTTCGATGTGCGATTAGCCTTCTCTCCCACGTACGGACGATGCCACTGTTATCCGTTATTTCGGAACTATTTTCGGACCGTTCTAAATTATAGTGTG